TTTCTAGGCATTTACTTTCTATTGAACCCTTGGTGTTAGCTTCCCCCACCCCTTTTAAATGGAAAAAGTATACAGCATATTTGTTGTGTATGTGTGTGTTTGAACAGATTTAAAATTGATGTACCACTTGGTTTTGAAGAAAGTTGACAGCCAGAAGTGAAAAGAGTATCTGTCATCTTGCACAGAAAGACAGGGCAAAGGGCCGCAGTTTGATGTTACTCATCGATGGAGCTCCCCTTAAATTCACCCTCAACCCACGGTGACTCCAAGCACAAGGGAACGAAATGCTGTCCTGACCTGTGCCATCCCTACGATAGATTAGTGATGAGATCCTTGTGTTCTGGAGGCTTTTCATTAGCAAGCTTGTGGAAGTACATCAGGTCTTCCTAATCTGGAAGTTCAGCTGAAACCTACTCAATGCAAACACAAGCTTCCATTGACAGAACTGGTGGCTGTGCAAGAGGTGCATTGGCCAGAAAGCATTTGGATGCTTAATTAGGTCAACACATAATTTTGTCCTGTTTTGCCCGCAACAATGTTCTGTCATTCCCGTTTGGTGTTGCCAAAAAACACTTTTGAGAACTATAGATCATATAGATTCAGCCATGTTCCTTTATCTGATGGTATCCAGTGTTGCTGGCTGCTGTCTGAGGCTTACATAGGATACATGTTCATTCTAGTTAATTCACTGTTAACAGTGAAAATATCTTTTAAATCCGGAGATGGTTCTTTACTTTGGATGTTTCAATGGAAGACAAAACATTCAAGAAAACTCAGTTCGCAGGCGTAGATGAATAGTAACTACGTAGTTGAATAGGAAATACTAATTGGAACAGGCAGTCAAGTAGACAGCGGATGGAACCATGTCCAGTGCATACAGAAGAGCTGATTAAAACTTAGGGTCAGCCAAAAGTACACGCTGCCCTCCAAACCTAGATTGACAAGGGGCCTTCCTCAACGCTTTAACTTTTTGGTAGTGTAAATCATAATCCCTGGCGGAAGCAATATGGGTGCCCACTGGTTACAGAACCCACCTACCAAGCTTGGTACCTCCACAAATGACACAACTCCTTTGGAAGAAAAACAATTTAGAAGAGAAAAGGACACACTGAAGAGGAACTTGACAGATGCTGCAGCTGCGAAGGGAACTTCCCGCCCCGCCCAGGGTTCTAGGGCTTCCCCGGGGATCAGCAATTTCTGCCCCGCTCATGCACGCCAGCCCACTGCCGCGTGTGAAAGGCGGGATTTCCGTATACCCTGCGTCATTTACAGTGCGACGGAAGAAGTCACCGGTTTAAAGAAGGTCAAATGTAGTTCTGGGCAGACGAGCGCGTGCGCACGATACGCCCTGGCGCGTTGGCGCATGCGCGGGGGCACCTTAGAGGGGAGGTGTGCTCCGCTCGTCACTGAGGCCCAAATTACTGGCTTCCGTCCTGGCTCCAACATGCTGTGCCGGCTGGGGCGGCGGCGGCTGCCGCCGCTGTCTGTCCTGCGGCCCGGGACCCACGGCTCGCCGCTGGCGCCTCCGCCCGCGGGCGGCTCAGAGCGCCTCCCTGTCCCAGTGCGGGCAGTGGCTTCCGTCTCGGCGGGTGGTCCGGGCGGCGTCGGCGGCTGGTACGAGGCCCTGGCTGCGTCGCCCCCGGTACGAGGCGCGGAGGAGCTGCTCCTGACGGCGCACGCCGCCACGGGCCTGCCCTGGTGGGCCAGCATCCTTCTCACGACCGTGGCCGTGCGCGGCGCCGTCACGCTGCCCCTGGCCGCCTACCAGCACTACATCTTAGCCAAGGTGAGGGTCGCCGCGCGCGCGCGCGCGCGCTTCCTGGGCCTGCGTTTCCAGGACACTCCTCCCCCGCGCAGTGTTCTTGACCTCGATTTGTCTTGAGGTTCCGGTCGAGTCGTTTCGGACTCAGCGAACGGAACACTGTCCGGCCCTGTTATGCTTGAGCCCGTTGTTGTAGCCAGTCTAGTCGAGGGCCCTACCGTTTTTCTCTGACCTCTTGCTGTACCAGACATGGTGTTCTTCTCCAGGGACTGGTCTCTCCTGAGAACACCGTAAAATGTAACCCGCACGCTTGGCGACACAGACACCTGTCATTTCATCAGTCCTGCTGGGTTTGCGGTCAGAACGCAAGCGGCTGCTGAATTTGCAGACCTATAAAAATTACCTTTTTAAAAGCCTGTGCGTCTGCACCCTCTTTCATTCCCAACTCTTGTTGCTTCCTAGAAGACAACTGCAATGTTAGCCATTTGCTAACTTGGGCCCTCATCTCGGCTTGGCCATCACTGGCAAGGCTGCCTGGCTACTCAGTCGCTTCCTCCTTTTTGTCTACAGAGCAGTTCTCGCATTGATAGTCACAGTGTTCTACCAGAAGTGAGAATTTGGATTAAAGGGCTTTGAAAATGAAGTATGAGGCTTCAGAGATAGAGGCTCGCCTGTTTTAGGATTGTTATCACCGGGGAAAGGAAACTAGGAACAAAACAAAGGATCACAAGTACTAAGCCTAGGACCTACTTTATGGAAATATAAACACAGATCCTCGAAAGAGACCATTTTTATTAATTTTGTGTGTGTGGCGATAGTAAAGTTTGTCTTTGTCAGCGGCCATTGAGCTGCCCCTAGGATCCTGTAGAGTTGCTTACCACTGGTAGATTATCAGGCTGCCTGAAGTTTTTCAGAAGCTCTGGATCATGGCGTTTTCAGCTGTAGAGGGGAAGCCAACCTGTGGGGCCCGCCCGCCGTGTACAGTTTTCAAGACTGTTCCTTTCAGAAGCAGATCTCAGAAGGCCTGTCTTCTGAGCACCTTTGGGTGGATTTGAACCTTTAGGCTAAGAGCTGAGCACTTAACTGCTCCACCCAGGGCCTCCTAGCTCACTCAGCCTGCTAGCAGTCTCCTACATGGAGATGGGGGCTTGTGCTTTGAATGCATAGCTGGGTGTTGATTGAAGTGGGCTCCCACATCGGAGAATTCTATCACCGAACCACTGCTGCCCTCTCCACGCAGTGAAGGTTAATAATAAGTGACTAATTCTTCATTTACTTGGAAATCTGTGTTTTTTCCAATGGTTTTAGGAGACCCACAGGTTGAGAACTGCTGCCCTAAGTAATTATTAATCCAGGTAATTATCCAGGTAATCTAGGTAATTACTTTCCCTACAGATTTGCTTATCCTGGATTTCATACACAGAAAATCATGCAAAACAAAACAGGAAGCAAAGAACAAAAACCAATAACAATGACTAGACAAAAAGCGAAAAGCCTCAGTGGAAAAAAAGAGCAGAAAATATTAAAAATCAACTTTAAAGTGGGTCACAGGGGAGACGTAGGATAAAATATTACAGTTTGACCTAACTACATCTGCTGCAATGGAAATTAAAGTACTGTTTACATCCCTGGACTATGGTTAGAGGGTTGGTACCTACAAATGGAATTGGGGCTTCCACTGTATCCATAGCCTTCTGCAATTCAGGTCTTGAGAATTTAAAGCATAATACTGTACTCTCTAATTTGGATTTTATTATTTACAATCCTTGGATCACACAGGCTTCTTCCATGTGGACTTAGTTGATGCGTAACTTGGTTGACTGATTTAGATGAACCTTGAAGAGCCACTATTCTTAAGCTGGGCACCATCTGGTTTCTTCAACATTTCCTATAGAACGCTCTCTTCAGTGATTTCTTCATGAGGTCAAGAATTGAGTTAGGGCATGTCATAAGAACTAATTTGGGAGACAGGTTTTAGAGGTTAACTAACTTGCTTAGGTGCACAAAGCTAAGTGTACAAGTTGGATTTGGATTTTGTTGGGACTGGAGCTATCTTAAGCAAATTCACATACTTTTACATGTAAAACTTCTACAGACACCCTTTTAGGTCACAAGGAAGGGAGGAGTCAACCAGGGTGCAGTATAGCACTGATGAAACACAATATTCCTCTGGTTCTTTGAGGCTTCCTCACACCCCACTATCATGACCCCAGTCCTGCCTTTCGGTTCTGGCTAAACTGGAGTATGTACACTGGTACAGGTAAGAGATCACGACATACATAATCCAGGTCACATAAACCCCTCAGGAACAGAAATGGAAGTAGCGATACCAGGAGGGTCAGGGCAGAGGTGAAGGGAAGAAGGGGCAACATTGCAATGATTGACGCATAACCCCCTCTCCTCCAGGGGGCCATGAACAACAGAAACCTGGGTGAAGGGAGACAGCAGTCAGTGTAAGATATGCAAACAATACCCCGTGATCAAGGGGTCACGGGGGGGAGGGAGGGAAAAAAGAGTACTTGATACCTAGGGCTCAAATAGAAGATAAAATGTTTAGAAAGTGATGATGGCAACATATGTACAAATATGCTTGATACAATTGATGTATGGGTTGTCATAAGAGCTGTAAGAGCCCCCAATAAAATTATCTTTAAATACAAAAACACCCTTTTAAATGAGTTGAGTGAATATAAAATAAAAGAAACTGAGTAGTTATGAATGAAAATATTTTTTTGTACTCATCACACATTCTACTTTTCTTCAGATAGGTGGAAAATTTGCAGCCAGAAATAAAAAATATTGCCAGGCATCTTAACCAAGAAATTGCAGTTCGTGCAAATCAGTTGGGATGGTCCAAAAGGGTTGCCAGGTAAGCATATTCAATGCATTTACCACCTTGAGTGCATTTATTAAGTGATGATGTTAACTATAAGTTTGGGCATTTTGTGATCTTGGTAAACAAGTATTTACTCTTTCATATTTTAATACGTTTCTGTAACATGATACTTTCATGTACTAGATTTAGAGCAAAGAACTGGAGAATCGAGGATTAGAATGACTGCTTGCGTGTACTTGTGTGAGTCCAACTCATCAGAAAGCCCTGTAATCAGATAGGAGGGCAGTTAATTAAGTGCTGTCTCAAACATGCCCTGCGAGGAGCTAAGCCATGGAAGGAAAGTCCTTAGGGTCCTCAAGGAGGAGGAAGGTGCTGTGCCTGCCTTTCAATATGATGGTCACCATGCAGCAAGTAATAGCCCACAAGTCTGAGGAAGTGGAAGATGTGGGCTCAGTGATCAAGGCATGTGGACATCCTTCACGGTTACCCTGTGCATTGCCCCCTTGGGTTCTTAGAAAGCCCTCAGTCAAGGGTGCTTGCCATACTGTGAGTTTCTGACTAGCGCTTTGAGCTGGGAACTTTCTACTCCATAAACAGTCTCGGAAACCCACAGGGGCAGTCCTACCGTGGGTTACTGTGACCTGGACTCAACTTGATGGCAACGCGTAGCAAATAGAATCTAAAATATTTGTGAGAGAGTTGATAGATCAGAGATGAATTTGACAAGCTAATAGCAAGTGGGATACAATAGCATATACAAATGGGTTCTAAAAAAACCCAAAAAAAACCCCACAAATGGGTTCTGAAAAGTTTGTGGGCAAATGGAATTAAAGAATAATACAATTGACTTAACTTTCTTGTGAATTAAATCAAGGCTTTACAGAGCATATCATAGTTTTACATTCGACAATTCATACACTTTCTTCAATTTCTTGTGTGTACCATCACTTAGCCTACTTCCTCCCTGTTTCTCCTAGTCTCTTTCTTCCCTAACTCTGAACTTTGTGCTTGGGCAAATGTTCCCCTTTTGATTTTAAATGGTTGATTATTCTAACGAGGAGGTGAACTCTCTCCCAGACCTGAAGGGGAAGGACCATAATCTTGGGGGTTCCACCAGTCTTCAACCAGTGAATTTGATCTCTAATGATTTTGACTTCTGTTCCACGTTTTCCCACTCTGTTCAAGGCCTTCTGATGTACTTTTCGGAGTAGTTGGTATTGCCCCAACTAGACGGGGGCACCATCTAGTTGCAGTTTCAGGGTTGTGGAGACTTACGTTTGCATGGTCCATTAGACTAATTGCTTCCATGTGTCTTTTCTGTTTTTCTCACTTTCCTTTTACTGGGAAAATCTGTTACTCGCTTTTATAGTAGGGGTGTCGTACAATATTTGTCCTGGTGTGTTTGACTAATTTCCCTCCGCGTAATATCCTTTAGGTTCATCAATTTTGTAAGCTATTTTGCAGATTCATTGTTATGCTTCAGATAATGGAATTTTTGCATGAACTTTTTGAAGCTCTTATAGCTTAGAAATGGTGTGTTTAGGCATCAATTAATCAAGTTTGGTTAGAATGTAGGGATTTGAGTAAAATGTATTTTCACTTTTAATATTTCTCTGATAAATCATGGTCAGGCCATGTCCATAGTGAAATGTGTATTGTTAAAGTCTAATTGACCGAAGATGACAAGGGATGAAATTTGCCATTTGACTGGGTCTTGGGATGTTTTGTACATTGCTGGAGAATTTTCCACTTTGGATGCGCCTGACAATTTGTTTTGACAACTGACCATATAAAACCATACACAAATCATGTAGCCAGAAAACCACATCACAGCAAGCGTGTACCATAGGGATGACACATTCTTAGTACTCAAATGATGTGTTTTCCTTTCCCTTTTTTCCCCCTTCCCTCCATCCAGGCTCACGTATCTCAGGAACATGCGGAGACTTGTTGCAGAGCTCTATGTCCGGGATAACTGCCACCCTTTTAAAGCTACTCTGCTGGTCTGGATTCAGCTTCCCATGTGGATCTGCATCTCTGTTGCCCTGCGAAATTTTAGCATCGGAGCAACACACTCAGAAGGCAATTGTCATTAATGTTTGTTTTCCTCAGGCCCCCCCCCCAAAAAAAAATTATGCTTTTCATTATTAGAATGCTTTTACCATCTTCTTTACAAAGATATAGGACTTAAAATCTAGAAACAGGCTGTGCTTAGCAAGACAGATGAATCTAGGAAAGACAGTCAGTACTGCCACCTGGGACTAAACATAATATAATAAAATTAATTGAAATTATTAAAATTAATTTTAATAATAGAAAAGTAATTAATGGAATTCATGTATCGTTTCATAATTTTGTTTCCAAGCCACTTTTTTTTTCATTTATAAAATTGAGACGAGAAAAGTTTCACTGGTAATAAATGTAAATATTAATTCAGAAATGGAATAAATTAAAGCAGTCATTTGGTACTTGTATTTAAAAGCATGTCTACCAAAAAGTAATCAAAGTAGACTTGAAAGAAAGCAGCTTGTGGGTAAATAAGTATTTGTAGTTAGAATCGAGTGCTGCCACTTATCTTTAGACAATCAGTGCTTTTGCTGTATGCAAGAAGCAATACTTATATTGGGGAATGAATTACCTAAATAAAACCAATGCTAATCTTTAGGTGAAGAACTCCTTATCAGACTTATCAAAACCTGTGCCTCATGGGAGCCCTGATGTTGTAGTGGTTAAGAGTTGGGCTGCTAACCTCAGGATCAGCAGTTCAAAACTATCAGCTACTCTGCCAGGAGAGACGGGGCTTTACAGTCTCTGAAACTCACAGGGCCAGTTCTATTCTGCCCTACAGGGTCGCTATTAATCAGTCAGGTCGATGGTAGTGAGTTTGGTCTTTCTGGGGCCTTAGCTATATCTGCTGTTTTTAAGAAATCTGTTGTTGTGCTTATAACACTATTTCAGCAGGATTTTCTGTTCAGGAGCAGTTAGCTACTGGTGGGATTCTCTGGTTTCCTGACCTCACTGCATTGGATTCCACTTGGATTCTGCCCATATCTGTTGGTGTCACCAATTTATTAATAGTGGAGGTTAGTGGTTTAAAATATTGGGATTTTTGTTATTGTCGTGATATTAAACATCAGTGTGTTAGCATTGGAGTTAACTCTGAGTTATAATTGAGTCCTCATGGTTTCTGGTCCCAAATCAGTCTCTTTTAAGGTGTCTTGTCTACCTTAGGCCAGCCCCCAAACCTCTTGAGTGTCAGAACTTTCTTAACTATTATATAAAAGCAACTTCAGAACATTTCCAAGGTTTTCTTTCAGCTTTAAATTATATGATTTTAAAATGTATAATTTTGTAATTTACTTCTTCAATGACAAAATGCTAGGTCAACATTTTGTTCATACAGTAGAGTGGCGTTTTGTGTGTGTTTAAAGTATGAATTTGTAGGCAGTGAACACATTCTGTACATTGAACTTGTTTTTTGTTTTTAAGCTAGATGACCTTAGATCGTTGAACTTTACTGTAAAATGGAGAAGGAAGAACGCATGTGTGTAAATTATGACCCCTTAGGCATGTCTTACCCTTATCTTATGTTGCTGAACTCAAGAACAGTACCACACAGACTCTTTGAAAGAAAATAAACTGAAGAAATGGTCTACCCTAGTTGCAATTTCACTGACTTTAGGGCCACTGTTTCTGTTTTGGAAAGCGAGTACACCTTTTAATTTTGGGATGAGAAAAAGGAAAGTGATGGACTCAAAGGTCTTGGGAGAAAGTTTCTCAGAGCTGGAATCCATGCATAAGCTAAATGCATTTCCTAAGTGTGTGTAGTAAAGGTCTGGGAATGTGGTTGGTTCTCTGGATTTTGTTAGAAGGAAGGACAGGCGTGAAGTCACAGTGAACTAATGGTTAAAGGTAGGACTGGTTATCAGTTCTCTTGTCTTTCCTCTGCTTATTCTACCATCCACTGGTTGAGCATGGAAGCTGCTTCTTAGTGAACATGTAGTATGTGGCAGGCATGGATATAAGCAGTTAATATGAATTAACTCTCAATATTGTACCTGTGATGTAAGTACTATTGTCCCTAATTCTCTTACTACTTTATGGTAGAGAAAGTGAGGCAGAGAAAGGTTAAGTAACTTGTCCAGTGTCACATAGCAATTAAATGCACAGCTTCCATGTGAACCTAGTTTGGCTTTTAATCATTACCCTATGCTTCCTGTTGAATAAGTAATTCATAAATCAGAACTGTTTCCTAGCTTTGGCTCCTCTCTTTATTCCATTTAGCCAGATCACAAACCTTTGAGAGAACTATTGAGTGCTTTCTCTATACCAGTGCCAGCAAACAAGGGTAACGATTCTTACATGGTACTTCTATTCAAAGAGTTTAGTCTTAATAGACTAAATTAAAAAATAATGGCTTCAAAAATTATAAAACTTACGTTTTGGCTTTAAGTGTTTACAAAGTTACAGTGTGAAAAGTCAATTTGTATATCTAAATAACATTTTAATACTTGTGTATATATATTTACTCTTCAGATTTTTGCTCTGCCAAAAAATGGAATGACTCGTTTTCAGAAGTATGTTACATACTTTGTCCGTGGAATGTCTGTGTTGATGATCCCAATTGCCGCCACAGTCCCTTCGGTGAGTAATACCAGTGTCGGGGTGGCAGTGGCGGTGGTTAGGTGCTATTGACTATATCTAACAGAACAAAACAGGCCAGGCCCTGCGTCACCACACAGTTGCTGATGAGTTTGAGCCACTGTGCCCGTCCATCTCATTGAGGCCCTCTGCTTTGTCAGCCAACGTGGTGGTGGTTTTGCCTCCTGACTACATGTCCAAAGCTCTGAGACGAAGTCTTGCCATCCTTGCTTCTGAGGAGCATTCTAGCTGTACTTTTTCCCATGTAGATTTTTTCATTCTTTTGATAGTCCATGATATATTTAATTGTCTTCAACACCTTAATTCAAAGCTGTTACTTTTTAATATTTCTTAGTCATGTGTGCAGCTTTCACATGTATTTGAGGTGGAAGAAAAGTGTGTTTAGCATGTGCTAAATTCTGTCTGGCTGTAGTTTACTTGGGACCCCACCTTTTCATTGTTTCTGATGGCTGTATCCCTTATTGATTTTGGTGTTTCCGTGGTAATACTTCCACCATCCTTATCACCAAGTGACATTTAAATTGTACTTAAGGTTGGTCTATACTTGATGTCATGTATCTGTCCGACATCAAACACCTTTTTCTTCAAATGTGCAAAGTACCTTGTAAAATACCACGGGCATAGTGTTTACTCTGCTTGATTATGTTGAATTAATATGTTGAATTCCTTTTGCCTACATGTTATGAACCACCAAATTTTGTATTTAAGAAATACAACTTTAAGTCAAGCCCATAGTTGCTTCAAGTGTGATATTTAGCCTCAAAACAACCCTGAGATATGTTCACATGTCCCTGTTTATACGTGATTAAATTTTTGATAGAGATAGAAAAAAAATTCTTGGATGTATTGTATATTTTTGGTCTTTTGCTTACATACTTCAGAAGTTGCTTCAAGGGCCAAAACTCACAACCAGATCTTTGTTTGCCTCAGAACCAACATATAGACCATAGCATAGAACTTAGTTGTTACTGGTAGTTAGGGTTATACTAACATAGATAAGAGTTCTTTACCTTAGTTTTTTCAGTAATCAGAAATGATATATTTTCAGCACCAAAATGTTACTTGTCAGTCTCTATATTGGACATGCTACTGTCACTGATCCTGTCTAAAATAAGTCAGCATCTTCATCTCAAATAAATATACTGTGTGACAATTCATGAAATAGCATCAAGTGCCTATTACGGTAGTTTTCATAAATTACCTGTGAAAAGAGAAAAACACAGATTCATTACATTTCAGGAGAAATAATAACAATTATAACTGAGCAAACCCTCAGATTAAATAAGAAGAGTAACGGTTCACTGACTAATTGGATTCAATGTGAATAACAGATTTAAATGTTGCTTTAAATATTCCAAAGTGGAGGCTCTCAAATAGAAGACATCCCGAGGCAAGCAGTTCAGGGATGATGTGGCCACTCTGAGACACGCAGCCTGCTCTTCTCTCTTTGTTCCATCTTCCACAACCTGTGTTTGTCATCCTCAAGGTCATGGTATAATCGTGATTGATGCTGGAGCTGGCCAATCAAAGCCTCTTCCTTTTAAATAGTCTTGGCAGAAGCCCTGCCAAACACTGTTTATATCTTACTAATGTGACCACACTTAGTTGCAGAACAGGACAGAGAATATTGTCTCTTGGGGGTAGGTGGTGTGTACTTAGTCGAGCATTAAGATTTTGTTTATGCAGTAAGGAAGGGGAAGTAGTGATACCTCGTAGGCAGGTTGCAGCCTGCCACAGATGGATTGAGGGTAATTTAAAATAAGATGTGATCTTAGCTAGTATTTATTGAGCATTGGCTTTGTGCTTGGCACTGTTCTGAAAAGGTTACATATATTACCTTGTGTGGTCATCATAATAAGCAGTGGAATCCCTGCGTGGTGCAAATAGTTCACATGTCTGGTTATTTTGAGTCCACACAGGCACCTTGGAAGAAACACCCGTTGATCTGCTTCCATAAAATCAGTCATTAAAAAAGCCATGTGGAGCACAGTTCTTTGACACACAGGTTACTGTGACTTTTGTTGACTTGCTAGCAATTGGGTTTAACAGTGCAATGAGGTGGAGGTACTATTACGTTCTCCACTTTAGAGATGAGGCGAATGAAGCCCATAGAGATTAAGCATATCCTCCAAGGTCACTTGGCTATTAAATTTCAGAGTTGTGACACTCATCCAGGCAGGTTGACTCCTTTGCTTAGCTACTGTACCAACCTGGTTTGGGGACCATTCCTTTGCTTTGAAATAAACATGTGATTAATAGGGGCTACATATTGTGCTTACTAGCACATGAATTGTATCAGTTATTTCTCATAGCAATCCTATGAAAAGTCGGCACAATTACTGTCCTCATTTTCTAGTTGGAAAAAGTGAAACAAACAACCCAGGTCAAATAAGTAGTAACTGGTATTAAAACTCAGGTAATAGAACTCCAGGATGTGGACTCAACCACCCTATCTATGATCGTGCCTCTGAGGCGTGATTGACTTTATGTAGCCAAAGAAAATTTGGCAACAAATACATGTATGCACTCTGATAGGCTGTGGACCTTAGTCATTGCTCTGAAAAAGTCATTCTGGATGGTAATACAAAAGAAAGTTGAAAATTATGCTGACACTGTCTTCGAAGAAAAAGAGGCAAAGATAATGCTGCACTGGAAAGTAAATACTAGGTGAAAAGAAGATACCGTATATACTCGAGTATAAGCTGAGTTTTTCAGCACATTTTTTTTTTGTTAAATCTTTTTATTGTGGCTCATACAACTCTTATCACAATCCATACATACATCAATTGTGTAAAGCACACTTATACATTTGTTGCCCTCATCATTCTCAAAATTCACTTTCCGCTTGGGTTCCTGGAATCAGCTCCTCACTTTCCTTTTCCCTCCCCCTCCCTCCCCGCTCCCCCCTCCCTCATGAATCCTTAATAATCCACAAATTATTTTACCTTATCTTACACTGCCCAGCGTCTCCCGTCCCCCACCCTTCCACTGCCCATCCCCCAGAGATGTAGATCCTTGTAGATCCTTGTGATCTATTCCCCCTTTCTACTCCCCCTTCCCTCCCGGTATCGCCACTGCCACTGCTGGTCCTGAGGGGTTCATATGTCCTAGATTCCCTGTGTTTCCAGTTCCCATCTGTACCGCTGCGCATCCTCTGGTGTAACCAGGTTTGCAAGGTAGAATTGGGATCATGACAGTTGAGGGGAGGAAGCGTTTAAGAACTAGAGCAAGGTTGTGAGTTTCATTATTGCTATACTGAACCCTGAGTGACTCATCTCTTCCCCACTACCCCTCTGCAAGGTATGTCCAGTTGTCTACAGATGGGCATTGGGTCTCCATTACGCTCTACCCTCATTCACGATGATATGCTTCTGCCCCCTCCCCCACTTTGGTGCTTCAAACCTGGTCCATTCGGCCCTTCATGATCACACATGTTGTGCTACTTCCATGTGGGCTTTGTTGCTTCTGGGCTAGATGGCCCCTTGTTTACTTTCAAGCCTTTAAGTCCCCAGACGCTATATCTTTTGATAGCCTGGCACCATCAGCTTTCTTCATCACATTTGCTTATGCACACGTCTGTCTTCAGCGATCATGTCGGGAAGGTGGGTATCATGAAATGACCGTTTAGCTGAGCAAGTTGCTGGTGTATTAAGGGAATGCGCATGAGGATGCCCAATGTCCACCTGCCACCCTACTACTAAACCTATAAATATATGCACCTAGGTCCATTTCCCCCATAATCTTAAATATATTTACATATGTACATGTCTGTATTTAGGCTTTTTTTTATGCCCTTTGCCTCCTACTCCTTTTCTCTATTTCCTTACGCTTTCCTCCTGTCCCACTACCATGTTCAGCCTTCATTCTGGTTTCAGTAATTCCTCTCAGTTACCTTGCCCTTGGTCACTCCCTACCAGGCCTCCCATGCCCTCCTTGCCATTAGTTTTGAACCACTCGTTGTTCCCTTGTCCCTGGGTTGGCCAACACCTCCTCCCTTCTCCTACCTCCCACATTCTCATGTCCCTCCGGGACCGTTGGTCCCTTTATTTTCTTCTCACATTTTTTTTGGTCCAGCCTCTCTTATCTAGGTGGACGTGCAGATATATTAATATGTGCATAAAATTGGGGATGGCTTTGACAGCACAGCACCAAAGTGGCACATAAAACATGGCGATGACGGCAGCAGCATCGACAAGCTAACAAACAAAAAAGCCACTGACATACAAAATTTAAAAGAAGAGAAAAAAGGAAAAAAAAAAAC